TACAGACTGTCCAGCCCACATTATCATAAATTCTTTAATTTGTGCTTCTTGTGCTAATAAATGAAAATTGGATTCAAAAAAATAATAAAAAAAAAAACAACCCAAAAAAATTGTAGAATCAAAGAATGGCTTGGGGCAGGGAACCTTCCACTAGACCAGGTCCCTGGTTACTTAAAGCTGAATTTCAGCAGCAAGTGCYCTCTCTCATTGGAATTTTCTTCCTCACTGAGGTGCCCTTGCTCAGCAAGGCTTTTTAGGAAGCTATGCAGGTTTTTTTGAGRGCACTATGAGAATTGGCCTTCACTAAACTATTTTTTAAAATTATTTTTAATTTTGGGACACAAAACTGGTTCACCTAAGTCACAGAATGAACCAGAGAAACGTGTTTCTTGTATCAGTAGGGATTTTCAGATGGGGGAACAAGGCAGCCTGGGTGCCAGGAAAGCAGATCCTGCATGGCCAGGAGTTGAGGGGCCATTACTGGCAGCTGAAATGTGCTGAGTTAGTCTCCTGCATCAGGACTACCAAGTGCCACACTGGGCTGTTGGAACATGTATGTGCTGCTCTGTTCACSTTTTTGGTCATTCTGGTGCTTCAGTTGTGTGTTAAGGAAAGAAAGAATAYCCCAGCGAGAGAAATAGATATGGAATTATAGCAAAAGAAGATATGGAAAAGAGTTTCTGAGGAATTAGTCTTTTAAAACAATCCCAGTTTTCAGAGATCAAAATGATAAGCGGCTGATTTCTCTCAGAAGAAATGGTTAAAATATTAGTTTCTGATTTTAAAGAAGATAATAAAGGAGGGTTAGGTCCATACTTGAAATGAATAAGAGTCGGATGTAGTGTTCAGTGCATTGGACCTTGACTTAGTGAAGCTTTTAAGTAAAATTTCTGCTTGGTTTTTGGAGAATAAGAATGCTGTGTAAAGCTCTGTGGTACCTCCTCAACAGCTATAGCAGATGAACTACAAGTAAAATTTTTGGKTTTACTCTTTTGAATTTCTTCTGASAAAAGTTATTGTCTAGGGAAAAAAATCTAAACCCTAACTTCTTTTTGCTTGCTTTTTGACCTCTTAAAAATCTGCATGTTCATAACACCTTTCCARTTCCTGAGAACTTTGTATTCCTTAAAGCTCACTTAAAGGCTATCCATAGTTTTTGATTACTATCTCAAGGACAGTGTATGCTAAAAATGTTGAGCAAGAAATAACTTTTTAAATTAACCACTTTCCTTGCAGAAATATGTCCTCTTCATTCTCAGAATTACTGAGAAAACACATATTTGATCAGAAACATGCTGGCATGCAGCTCTGATCATCTTTCATTCCCATTGTAATATTTATAAATGCCATGTATTATTGTAATAAGCAAGCAGTAATTTTACTGAGAGCACTTTATAAATGTGAGTGGATTCAGCCTCTCCTGTGAAAATTTCTGAGATAGGCTATTATGGGGCTACATGGGCACATCCAGTCAGTGGTGAGCACAAGGACTAGATGGACCATTCCTGCCATAGAGATTTTGCAATTTTGCATGTATGAACTCACTGGGCTGTTCTTTGGAACAGTGTAACTCCTCTTGTGTGGAAATCTTTCACACAACCGAGACTTTGGAAAACATCCCAGCAAAACTTTGCTGTTGGTGATGCTCTGAGAACATTCCTTTTGCAGAGAAAGGCGCATCAACGCATCATTAAATTTAAAAGGGAAGGGTATAAACAAATACATAATAGGAAATGCCAAATCCCCTGAACACTGTTCTAGAGTTGTTTTGGACATATCACAGCAAGGCACAGTTTGAATGAAGGAATGAAACATGAAGGTAAATCCCTCAGCTGTTTATTTTTCAACAATAAACCTTCTGCTAATATTAGAGAGGGTTTATCAATAAAAGTAAATGAGGTCTGCAACTGGGGTGCCATCAAGAACTGAAAATGTGATATCTACAAAACATGTGCATAGTGATGTGCTCACAGCAACAATTCCCTAAGTTAAATTTAGACCTGAAAAGCTGTTTTACGGTTTTGTTTTCCCGAAGATTTCTATTATGTGGATGCTGTGCAGCTTTTCCCTTCCCTTTTGTACATGATGGATTAATAAACTAATAGTAGAACTACCCTRAAGGAGAACTCCCTGTACTTCTCAGCAACTTTCGGTATTATGGTAGTTCAAGAGGAGAGAAAGAAGTTTAATTCAAAAACTATCTAACTACTCTGAAAACAGGTATCACTGCCTTCCACCTCCTCCAGCACACACTTCAATTTCTGCTGTTCAAACAGCTCAGAAATTTTAAGCTGTTCTGAYTTTTTCTCCATCTCCAGTTTTCTTATGACAGTATGCCTATGAAGARATGAAGTATAGGAAGGCCTTAACTGTAAGTGTTAAACAAACATAAGTCAGTTTGTTCCTCTCTTTGTAGTCATGATGAAAGATCTCTGTTCTGTTTAATTTGGAATAAAATCTGGAAATTGGGTAATTCACATGCTTGTATACTAAGATGCCACAGGCTTATTGAATAATGTTGATTGAGAGTATTTATCTTTATGAAGCTATTTCCAGTTAGTATAAATACTKAAATAAACACTGAATCTGAATCTTCCATGTTTGGAAATATCATCAGTTTTGAGGTTTCTGATGTCAATCTCACAACTTCTTCTCCCTCACCCTGTGAATATTTGCTGCTCTTCTCAAGTCTTTAATTCTTCAGGATTTTGATCTCCACGGACCYGCCCAACTCCTGCTCCCTTAGACTTAATGTGACCCTGCTCCACAGCCTGGTGCCAGGAGTCACCAGAAGCCTTGTGTGTCCTGAACCAAGATGATAACTTTCCTTCTAACAGCCCAGCACCTAAATCTTACTCAACACAGGTCACAACTGGATCTACACTTTTCCTGTGTGTATTGTAGTGTGTTTGCTCAAAATGTTTTGGCAACTGAGAAAGAAAATATTCAAACAGGAGGAAACTGACCACAAGCTCACTCTGCAAGGCTGGCAGGGTATTTCGTTCTGGTTTTTTGGCATTTCTCGTGTGAGAATAGGTAAGGTTAACCATGAGTGCTCATTGTCCAAAGCTCAGCCAACAACTAGCATTTAGGTTATTGTCAGGAAGAGTGAGAAATCTGGGARCTGCAGCAGGAGTGGGACTGCAAAAGCACTGCAGGAGTGAAGAACAGTCATYCCTTCGATGGATGGATTCATTCCTGAGAACATTTTCATGGGAACAATGCACAGAGCAAGATTCAGGTCACACCTAGAGTTCAGGTTAGGGCTAGGGGAGTCCCAGGCTAGGTTTGCTCTCTCAGAGACAGGGTGAGCCCTGCCAGGCCCATGTCTGTGTTTATCACATTTCTGACACTGATTCTTATCTGCCCTCTGTGTTTTCCCAGGTATGTGATATTGAGTCAGCCTACTTTTGCATCCTGCTATCYTGAGCTTTGTTGTCAGCATTTGCTTTCAGAAATCTCCAAGTGTAACACTGAGCTTAAGATCCATCTGCTGCCATGTCCTGTTGGGCTTTGTTGACTTGATTTTCATATTTGGCCCAAAATTATGTTTGAATTTCATCCTCAGTAAGGTTAGAGGTTCAAAGTCAAACTTTGCAAGTGGCATTCAGCTTTCCACTTCCTTTTCTCAAGYTCTCTGGTGCCCTTGTGGACAAGCATTAGCTAACAACAATAATACAAGCAGGCATGTTAAATAATGCCAGGATACAGCTCAGCCTTGAATGCATTGGTTTCAGATTCCTGTTTGCTCCAGCCTTCAGATGGAGTGGCTCTCACTCTGAAGGACAGACAGAGGAGATGCTGAGGAAGAGGAGAGATGAAGGTGGCAGATCCAAGTCAGAGACTCTGGCAAGTTTAAAGTGCCACAGGTGGTGTTATGTGTGAAGGGGAAAGGAAGTGACCTTGATGGAGACAGTGCTGTCTGGGGCCCTGGTTATTTCTAGGTAGAAATAAGTAAAGAACAACAAGACACTCAGTTTGTAGTGTGGGTAAAATCAACCCACAGCTGTTATTTGCTTAGACTGACAAAGCTCAATTTSTGTTGTCAGATGTAAGGCCTCCTGTGAACAGGAGAATGGTCAGATCATGGTTTGCTTACATTTTTACGATTTGCAAAGTTTATGCTCAACATTGGATCTGTTGCTGAGAAGATGACCCTCTATCAAGATAATTTATTCCTATTCCTGGCTGGTTCACTGCCAAGCTTGACAATACTCCTCCCATTGAGCTCTCCTACAAAAAATGCTGGATGGAAGCCAAACTGCACATTTGTACAGGGAGAGAAGGAGCCCAAGCAGTGCTTGGAGTGAAAGCAACCTGCCTCAGSCTCAGGAACCTCACAGGGCTCCCTGTTTGGTGTCAGTGACTGCTGGGAAACCCTKTCTTGTCCTGGGGCTGGAATCTTGCACATCCCTTAACCCTCCTACCCTCATGGTGTCTGACTACAAAGCTGAATGATCACAACTTGCACAAATTAACTGAAGTACAAAGACAAATAAGAGATTTTAAACCTCCCCAGTTTTATAATATGACATGTAGATTTCCCAAGTTGGAACAAGGTCAACGGTGGCTGTATCTACCTCGTGAGCTCTGCAGGCACCATAGGAATTCTCTGTTGTGGACAAGGGATTACTGTACTCCACTACCACTACAGAATTCAGTGTTTAACATGCTAGCATTGTGAGACCAATTTCATATCCATTGCAGGAGTGTGATACTATGTGGAATAGCAGCTCTGATGATATCAAACAGTACAATGCAGCTCTCAAATTGCAGACAATACCCTGAGTCCAGTGAATAGCTAAGGCATCTAGTGATAAAGAAATAAAATRCTAGTGATCTTATCAAGAGTAGCTTGTGCAGTTAGATTATATTTCTGTGTTAAAGTGAGAATTTCCTGCTTTAGAAAACAGCCTTTCCTGAAAGCCAGATAGCTCAAACCCATTGCAAGAACCRGGGAAAAACCAGCTAAGCTGGAAAAGAAAAAGGTGAATTTTCACCTGGCAGATGACAGCTTTTGGGACGTGGACTGGAGGAGCCGTTTCTTGTGTGGGTTCTCAGAACTCGTCTTGGGGTTCAACCAGTTTARTTGCAGTCTTGATCTCAGCATGAAAGACAGGAGAGCCCTGGTGAAGCATGTGAGTGACATAAATTGTTTGATGACTTCATTACAGAGAGCAATGGAATATCCTGCAGAGAGAGAGGGATGGGATTAGCAGAGCCACAGCAGTGGAATGATAAGAGGAAAAGGCTGTAAGTCCTGAAGCAGATCAGCTCCCCAAGAAGATAAATGACTGATCAGCTCCTTCATTCTCCGTGCTGCAGTGGAGGCACAGAAGAGCTGCTCAGCAATGCACAAACCTCCTCCCAAGGCTCTCTCCCTGACGTGCATGTGGATGTCCTCTAAAGCTTTGCTCTTTGATGYGTTGCTCCCACCAAGCCTCTTCAGCTCAGTTTAGCCACTCCTTCCTCTTAGCAATTGAAATACTGCTCTTTTCCCTGGSTAGCAGCATTAGGTTCTCATGACTAAGTAAAATGTGAAGGTCTAATGRCCAAATAGTATTTGTCAGTATTGGTCCCTATGAGCATTAAATACTTGATGGAGAGATTTGCCTTTCATATGAACTGGCTCTGTGCCCTGAAAGCACTTTACTTCTAGCACCTTGAGGACATTTTGGCAGCCATTTAGGAGAAAAAGATTTGCTATCTCAAGTGCCTCCAGTCACTATAATGTTCACACTGTTGTCAGGCATTTGCAATAATGCAGCATTTCCTGCACTTTTTCACCAGGGGCTTTCACAGGTGTGGCCTTTGAGGAAAGCCCAAGTGTCTCCAGTAACAAAGAGCTCCCAAAGAAGCTCACAGTGTGTGTGGCTGACTGGTTGTTGTCCCAAAGTCTAATATTTATTTCTTTGACAGCTACTGCTTTCCTCATTCCTTATCATACACATAACTGATTATTTTACTCTGCTGTATCTAGCAAAAACATAAAAGATGTTTTAACCTGTCACATTATGTCTGAAAACCACATTTGCAACTACACAGCCATCCCTGCCAGCAGCTGGAAATGTCTCAGTCACTACAGCTGTTCCCATGCTGATGGCTCTGTGCAAGCAGAGGAGTCCTTAGCACAGAAGACATCACAGGCAGAGCCTGTCCTCCCTGTAAATTGTGTTTTCTTAATGCCTTGTGTTCTCTTAATGCCTTTCACAACATGCTCAGACAACAGGATAGGTTTATAAGTATTATTAACTATATAATAATGCTTAAGTGAAATTACAGCTTYAATTTTGAGAAGGTGGAATTCAGAAGAGATTATTTTTACCCAGTTTGTTCAGGTTAGAACATCTAATGCATGGGCTCCTGAAGATGGTCCTAGTTTAATTTAGAACTTCCAACAACAGCTACACTCAATTATAAACTCAGATTTCAACCTCCTGAATAGTTTTTCTTGTGGACCWTCTCAGAGCATCCCCARCATCACTGATTTGTGTCATGGAGGGCAATACAAATGTGACATAATGCTCATTGTCTAAATAGCAGGTTTKCTTTATCAAATAATTGGAGGGYTTTGTTTGTTTGTTTGTTTATGTTAAATTTCACATTCTTTTAAGGACTAAAAGCAGAGTGTGACAGTGCAAGTAATGGTGAGATCCCTTCTCAAGGAGAAGCCAGTCTGTAATGCCCCTTACTTCTTAARTGATAAACTTCAGAAAGCCATTTTTCTTGTCCTTCCTAGGTCAAACACATCMTGTTACGTTGTTGTTTCTCGAGCAGCTGGGACAGTCATTTCATATTATTTTCATGTATCTGCTCCTCACTTAGCCAGTACATGAGTATTTGCAATTGGAAAGAGGTCAGTTTTCAGATAGCACAGCTAGAAACCAACATATTCTATATATTGAAGAGAAAAGCTCAAAACCAGATGTACCTGTTAGAAATGGTGTGTGAGTAACTACAGTGAATTTCAAACTGTATTGCAATTATCTTGATAGCAACAGCAGATGAAAATTAGATATAATCCAAATAGAGCCTTTCTGCTGAAAACCTAAAACCCAGGGGAATTCTAATCACAACATTTCTTAAGTGGGAATACATCCTATCTCTGTTGGAAGAACTAAGTATTCAAATACATGCTGATAGGGATTTGGTGATTAAACTGTACAAAAGATGGATGTGACTTTCACTGAGAGATCTGGAAGGTTCAGGATGCTTCTCCAGCTGAGAAGCAGTGTGATTTACAGTGCCAATTTATAACAGTCAGTATATGGATTACAATTTTCATTTTTGCCTTTTCATACTTTGCCAGCATTTAAATGAAATTGTGTATTAATTTATTGTTATCCCTTTGTTAGCAACAGGAGATGACAGAGTCCTGCTGGAACCTGGTGCAGACTGTTTTTGCCTCTACATACCCAGGTTTTGGGCACTGGTGTTCACAGGGAAGATACATTCTATCTGCTCTTTCCAGATGTCAGACCCAACAAAAAAAAACGCAGGGCAACAGTTTAGTTAGAGAGACAGATTGCTTTAGTAAATGCCACAGCTCCTTCAAAGAGCYATTGTACCCAAAACTAACAAAAAACCAAAGTTTAGTGTCTGTCATTGACACAGACAGTGGGATCAAGTACACCCTTGGCCAGTTTGCCAGGGACCCAAGGTGTGGTGTGGTTGAGTGACAGTGGAGGGAAGGGATGCCAACCAGAGGGAAGGGATGCCAACCAGAGGGAAGGGATTCCATCTAGAGGGACCTTGACAGGCTTGAGAGGTGGGCCTGTGCAAATCTCATGGAGTTCAACAAAGCCAAATTCAAGGTGCTGCACCTGAGTTGGGGCAACCCCCRGTATCAGCACAGGCTGGGGATGAACAGATCCCTGCTGGGAAGGGCTTGGGGTGCTCACGGGTGATGGACATGACCTGGCAATGTGAACCTGAGCCAGAAAGCCAAATGAGCCCTGGGCTGCTTCCAAAGCAGCGTGGGCAGCAGGGGAGGGAGGGGATTGTGCCCCTCTGCTCTGCTTCCATTAATGGATTGTGTTTTCTGCTACCTCAAACTCACATGTCACTACAGCTACAAAGGAGACACTTTGAAAAGTGTTGGAGGAGGGGAATTTTCTTTTCCTATGAAATTGACTACCAAACCAGGAAATTCTTGGAGAAACTGATTTTCAAAGAAATATTTTTCACAAAAGATTTTGGGAATATAACAGAAAATGTTTTAAATATGTCATTTCTGATCTTGAACAAAAGAGAAAATGCACTGACTGCTGACAGTTTAGAGGGTGACCCAGCTCCACTTTTGCTCTCTCTAAACACTAAAGTGTTTTATATCTTTACAAAGAGGAGTAGTTCAAAAAAAAAAAAAAAAAAAAAAAAAGCAGCTGTGAGAGCCCAGTTCACTACAGTTTATCCCTCAGGCACTTCCTTAAGGAGGAAAAAAGGATTTCAAAATCCTTTATCAGTTCTCCCCATTCCCAGACAGATTTATCCTCTGTGAGTGCATTTTTTCCACGTTTTGTTTTCATGCTTTTGATAAAAATGGCAAGACCAGCTTTTCTCTGAAACAGAAATTTTGTCTTCTGACCAGCTTCATAAATTTTGAAAAAAAATCAGATTTAAGTTAATCCATGTCACCTTTGCACCTGCGTACCACCACTTTTGCCACCACTGCAGAAGGGGAAGCACCGCRTGGAATTGCGTGCGATGTTTTTCTGCAGCAGGCAGCAAAGGCTCATGGCAGGATGTCAGGGCAGGAACAAGTGAAGGGGAAATGAGCGGATGTGAGGTCTGGAAGGGAACATAATGATGCTGAGGGAAACAGAGGAGAAGAACTGCTGCTGGGGAGGAGGGAATGATGAAAAAGGAGAAATGATAATGTAGAAATGGAAGGAAGGAAAGAAGGGAAGAAGAGGGGTTTAATTTCCCAAGAGGGAAAAGGGCTCCAAACCAAAGAGTGAATAAGGATTCTCGCCTAAGTCAGGTATATACCATGCTTATGAAAGCTTTATCTGGGATTTTCATTTAGAATGTTAAAAAATGTAGGTAATTTACACAGTTTGGATCTGTATTTTACCCAGCTTCAAAATAGTCCAAAATCTGAAATTGTCTGATTTCTTCTTTTTAAACAAAAACTTATCTGTGATTTTTTAAGAGTATTTGATCAGAGTACATTTAYTCTAAGGCAATCTTTATTAATATGTTACATTAGACAGATTTTTTAAAAATTGAGACAAATGTGAGTGGGAACCTCTTAACCTGTCTATAGAAGTACATGATGCAAAGAGTAGAGGAATGGAACTCCAGATGTCTCATTCTGTACAGTTATGAACTGTAGTATGATTTAAATGCCAATTTGTAGACTACATGTATTGTAAAAGAAAATTAATTGCTGTCTTCTTACATTTCCAAAAAAAACCTCTTTCCAAAATGTTGCAGGAAACACCTATACAAAACTGACTTCACTTTGTCACTTCTAGTTCCTCCTACTTCTGGGAAAGTAAGTAGAAAGTAGTCCCTTTTGCTGACTTAGCTGACTGGAATTTATGAGCTATTTTAAGATAAAAATAGAGAAGTTTCTCAGAGGAAAAATGTAATCAGAAGGGGAAGGGATAGGGTTGTCTTGTGTGACCTACCTCCACATGGTGTTTTTTAAAAAAATGTTCAAATTATAAATGAAAGCTTCTATGACCAATGTGCCAGCCATTCATGAGCCATGAAATTCATTCATGTCTGATTCATTATGACTACTTTAGGCAGGCTGAACTATTATGATTTTGAAAATCAACTTGGAAGTCACAGAGAGGAAAAAAAAACAAAGCCAGGTATGGAGAAAGCTCTCAAATGTTAAACTGGTTCCTTTGTTCTTGTTGTTGTAAATGGATATTCCAAATTCTTTGTCTTATTTGAATTTATGATTTACTGTAAATATCTATATCGATTGCAGGCTTGAAAGAAGTTAACTCCTTTGGCTTATTTATCTGCCCTTGAGTGATAGTCCCACATCCTCATGACTTGGAAATTTTGGCATTAACTGAGAGAAAAAGACAAGATATTTACCCAGACAAAGGAAAATAAAATAAAAAATACAACTGGTTTTATCCTAATAGTTGGACACATCAGAAATGTCTGATGAAAATATTTGCTGATTGTTTTGTACATTGTGAAAAATCCGTGAGGAAAGTTACAGAGGTTCCATGTAGGACTGTCCCCTAGCAATGGGTTGGACAGGGCTGCATGGATATGTGAATAAACATGAATTTTACTTCTCTGAAAAGATGCTAATCATTCTAAATATGTTGTTTTGTGTGTATGTATACATATATGCCTGTGTATAGAGRGAGAGGAGAGAGAATCTCCACAAAGCAAACATTTCCTGGTCACCTGCAGTGCCTCACACCTTTTGCCTGCTCTTTTGCTGTTTGCTCAYAGATAAAGTGGCTTGTTCCAGCACTAGAAGGACCAGACACAGCAAACCTTTCTWGGTGATGCCAAGGTGACAGTCATCTGTGAGCTGGTCTTAAACAGGTAAAACAGGATTCTACACGAGGAGCATGTGGGAAGACCCTGTTTTTCCCTGAGTAAAACAGTGTCTGGTGGGTTTAATTTAGATGACTCAATCTGAAGAAATAAAGAAATAAATTCATCCTGGATCTCGGGTATCACAGACAGGGATGAAGATCATTACAGTAAATAACCTGATGACACCAGGCTGGTTGTAAGATTCACTGGCTGAAGTTCAGTGTTGAACTGAAAGTGTGCAGTTAAAAAGGCTAAAATTTGACTTGAAGCATAGTATGAGTCCAGAAGCAGGTTTATCTGTTGTGATAGGTAAGGGAACCTGTACAGCATAAATTTCTTTCTAATCTCCCAATTTCACCGCTAGGAAAATCATCCTTTCACAGACCTTTTCCTCTGGAGAATGAGCCAGAAAAAGAGAATTTGTCGGTGATCTGTTTGTTAAGCAGGCTACCAGTGAGCAAATTGCTCATTTCTCCTGATACATCCATAAGGCTTCATCTTCTATAATCTGTCATTATTCTGCTGATGCTGATTTGGAGTGCACTGTGAGCACTCAGTCCAGCTGAGGGTCTGGCCTGTGTGGTTACTTGTGACACTTTWTGTCCCTCCATCTGGTTGTTTTCTTGGAGAGCTGTTGGCTGCTGTAGACACTGCCACACTGTCTGTGTTACACTGAGGACCAGAGGTTTTGGGGATAACCAGTGTGCAAAAATACTGCAGACATAGGGAGAGGCTGTGCCTCAAGGAGCTTCTAATCTGAGCAGAATCCAAATATCATACAGACTGTAAAATATGGCTTATTATAGGGAAAGGCTGCTGCAGAAGGGGGTGAGAAGTGCATGCAGAGCTGAGCCAAAATCTAGCAGCATGTGCTGCAATATTTCTGTCATCCTAAGAACCTTTTTAAGGATCAGGTCCCAGCTTTGAATTGTGAGAGCTTAACAGCTCCTTTTTGTAAAAATGCTCAAGGTACCTGATGGAACACTTGCAGTTTATTGSTTCCTGCTACCTGCAGGGAGTTCACCCTTAACATCGAGAAAGTGGCACATTGYTGTGCTCCCTGTGTGTGGGTAGAGGGACCTGCTGTCCTTTCCATGACCCCAGAGCAACAGCCCTTCAGCCAGTCAGACAGCTGATGGGAACTCTGACAGCCATGGCAAAGGGACAGGCCACCTCCGCACTGGGGTGTGGTCCCAAAGARCTTTTTCCTTTGTGCCGGAGCAGGAACACTGCAGGAAGAAAAGCACCTATGACCAGTTCTGCCTCTGGGCATGCACATAAACCCTGTCAATGTTAGAAAGACCTGGACCTCTACCATGGATCATTCAGGGTTTTTTTGTAGCATTTAACTGTAATCTCAGATAAAATGAGTGGGRAAAATGCGTTTCTGCATTTTGACAGCTCCATTCACTGCACATTAACCAYAGTCTGAAGTGTGTCTCTGCAATACTATCACCTTGCTGGAATACCTTATTGTGCAAAGCTACTGAATCTGCAAACCTGGATTATCAGATTTGTTTGCAAGGATCACACAAASCAGCCCAACCTTGCTGAATCAAGCTGAGGAGTTAACATGTAGGGGACTTAAATACAACACAGCAGCTAAAGTCAGTAAAATCCACCTGTYCAGGGAACACTAAAAGTCCTGAAGTATTTTGGTATCAGCTTTGCCACAATGTCTGAATTCTTTGGTCTTGCCTATCATCAGACTGAAGATAAGTGCTTTCAGCAGGCAACTTTTTTTGTTTTTCTCTGGTCTGTGTCCCATTTGTGCCTGTTCTCCAGCATTTAACTCCTCAGTGGGGTGTTGGACCATGACCAGGGTCCCTCAGTCCCACTCATTAGCTTTACTGCTGAGTAAAYGAGGTGTCACTACTGCAGTAATCTAGTTACAACTCGATCTGTGCAATGCCAGCCTGCAGGGCCCGAATTTAAAGTGCTGCTCTCCTCTTCTGTGCTTTCCCCTGGGCTGGCACAGCTGGGATGCCCTCTCCTCCCTCCCTCTCTGCTCAGGGCACCCAACCAAGGGGTGAAGCTGAAGCCACCCATTTGTGAGTCAGCACCCACAGACTGCTCTAGGGTGTGATTCCTTGGCAGCTACACGTTCCTAAAGCCCAGAAAGGGCTGGCAAAGCACAGCTTGTGTCTCCACTTTAAAGTGCCCTGTTCCTTCACAGCTGTATCAGCCAGGCAGAGACACAGCTTTCCATCTTCATGTATGGAGTGTGTTAAATGCTAGAAGGAAGATAAGCCTTTGATATGGTAGGGGAAACTCATCTCTATGCAGCACTGAGAGGGAGTTTTGAAAAATCATCAGTGGCAAGAGAACAAGGCTTATGTGTAATTTTAAAGAAAAGTAGAGGTTTTACTTAAATGGCATTTTTCTCAGTGTTGGGTTTTTTTTAAAACTTGATATTGATTAGCTTTGCTAATGAGTTCAGGTGCATTTTTTCCAGTTCATTTGGTTACTGAGAGGGAATTTGTTTTCAAAGCAAAGCTGTATTCTCTGAAAAGTTTTCCTAGACTTGTAATATGACGTTTTTTCCTACTGTGACTTTAAAAACAGYGGAATTTGGGTGACTAACAGATTCTTACGCCTTTCTTTTAATGAAAAACACATTATAAAACACTGGCTATTCTTAAACAATAAATTTTAGGTTCTTCATAATGAACGTGCTAAAATTCTCCCAAATTCCTTTTGTTTTCTGCCTGAGAAAATACTTGAAATATCACATAGCTACAAGAATTTTTAAAGCTGTTTTCCTGTGCAAGGATGGGATGCTTATTTCAGGAAGCTCTAACTCAGTAGAAAAGGCAGTTCCTTTGTTAGATTGTCGGTACAAAATGTTCAGGTAACACTGAGTAACTCAGTCTTGTTCTCACATGTACTCAGGCCCAGAGGAAAACCTGGACTAAAATTTTCTGGAGGTGTCTCTGCTCTGCTATTCCAAGGTCTTTTTTAACTGGGGTGTATTTATGCCTTCTGTTTGTGTTTTCACTGTTCACACAGAAAACAAGACAAATGAATTTGGAAGTCTATAAACGAATCTGGAGTGCTAACATGATCCTTTTAATTTTTTTCTTGATRATTACACATTATTAGAGACTGGATAAAAGTCATATGAATGATATTACTCAATATGCTGATACTTCAATCCTAGAGACTCATGTGTGAAAATAGAGATTTCTTTTATTTAGCTGTCTTCTAGTTCTAAGAAAATAAGCTGTATAAGATAAAAGTCCCATCTAAAACCCCCTCTTAGGAGATGGCACCTGTAAGATTACATACAGGGTATTAAAACAGGAATTCTAATGCCAGACTATTTGAATGCTTCTGGCTTTATGGCTTTTTACAATTATTACACTAAGAAGGCCACTTAACATACTGAGTAATGGAAAATGAATAGCTGAAAGTAGAGCATTTATTTCAACCTTTGGAATTTTTGTTATTTGAGTCTAATTACAATCCCACTACTAAGCGTTCTTTGTTTTCATCAGCACCTTAAACCAAGCTCCTACTGAATTTTTAACATTTGTATACAGATTTTTAAAAATAACCTAATAATGTAGCTTAAATGTCATCCAAACCCTTTCTTCTTTGTATTTTAAGTAAAAGTTTCAAAAGTTTAGCCTTTGCCATTCAATCAGTACAGATGAGACAGGTTAGCAGTGTAAGGTACACACACACACACACACACACACACACACACACACACACTTCTATGTCCTGCACAACAAAGTTTACAACCAAAATAATAAACAAGAGACAGAATTAACAGTAGATACAGAAAAGAGCTGACTCTGGTTTCTCCCTACTATTTTGTAGGTGATTTCTCAGCTGAAAACAAAGTTAGCTACTTGTACTTTCTGATTATTTTTGTGAGATGAAAGGAACTGTGCCCATGGTGTGATTACAGACATGAAGTGTCATCTGAATAGGAGAAATCCTTACCCTCCAGTTCACTGGACAGTATCTGTGGCAGATGAAGTACCCTGTGGCTTTGATGTGTTGGATACATTGAAATGAAACATTTTTCTRTAAATGTTATAGTTCTACAAAACCTGCCAAGTTACAAAATCACATTAGCAAAACTTTTTTTTTTTCTTCTTCCTGGAGGAGAAATAATATCAGCTCTTTTGTCACTGAACCAGAAACCTATTAAGAATTCAATAAGTGGTTCCCAAGAAGCAACAAACCACACTGAATTTAAACAGTAAGAACTTTTCATATGAAAGAGAAGTGGAAAAACATACCTTGGCTTAAAATTCAGCCCTGAGCAGATACAAATGAGTGAAGTGCAACACGTCTCTGGAAACAGCTCCTTCTCTAGTATGAATGAGTCTAACTTATGATTTTACTGCCCCTCCCTGAACACAGCAGACTCATCCCTCTGTTGATGACATCATATTCTTGGATTTACTCCCATACTATATTTTAAAAACATTATTTATCTACTGTATACAGCATGAGACCACTGATGTTTTAATATGGGTGGCAAACAACACAAACCCAGCTAAGGTACTGATGTTCCCCAGTGTGTGTATAAAACAGTCATGTGTTTGTGCAACAGCTTCCAGAACTGTGCATGAGCATGCACGCAASAACACACGGCTCTTATCCTGATCTAGGGGAATGGAGAGTGCCTTTTTTATTTTACTGGTGTTAGAGCTAAACAAGTCAGCTTTCTGGAGGACTTGGATCTYTAAAACAGAAAAGATCAAGTATCTCATTTGCAGTCTGTTTTTCCATGGGAAGAAATTTACTGTTGGTATTTCTCAAAGAAATACTGCTCTTCCTCTCTGATTACTTGGTCTGCAAAGAACAAGTACAGAATCCAAATACCACTTAAAGATTTAAATTGGACCAAAATTTCTTCAAGGTTATGGCTGAAATCTCTGTATTAATCAGAATTATAGCCAAAGACCAGAGCATACCCTTTTTACTTACTACAACGACTTTTATTCTGGATGTCAGATAATTAACAAAGAACTAATTTTAGACTGTTTATTAGAGGCATAGCTGGCTTTCCCCTAATATTTATGCAATAAAACTGAAATCTGAAATGGCAACCATGGTTACAGAATTCCACACAAAGGACACATCCATATTCAAAGGAGAAATGAACAGAGAAAAGAACAGTCCACTTAGTTTGCCACAAAATCTAATTCAGAAAGTGAACAATTCAGGAGAAACRCTGGTCTGTATAGTGACCAGTGCTATCTACCAATGAATATATTTGGCTCCCACTCTCCACTGGTTTGTCATTTACACTTCTAGAGCAACACACTTACTTGGTGTGTATTCCAGCAGGAATCACTGCTTTGCTTTAAGTCCTTTTCTATYTCTTTCTTGGAATAGCTTCTTGGTACGTTTTCTGTCCTTATTGGAACTAGTTGAGTCATGCTCTACTATCAGCAATACCTTTCCCTGGTCTGTCCCTGATTTCCCTGCACCAGTTCCAGTTTGATTATGTAATCTTGAKACTCACAATCTCAAAGATCTTCATTCCACTTTTTTTTCCCTCTAGTTATTTTTTTTAACTCCTTATGTACTTGAATAAAAATTTTAGGGCTACAGCTAGATTTTTAGTTTCTGGCTGGTCATGGATTTGATATTAAATATTAACATAATTTTGCAAATACAGTGCCTCAAAATTCTGCTTTGATTTTAAGRCATGTTTTCTGTGTTCATAGGAGGGACTCTGTTGGCTCATTTGTAATGTAATAAAACCCAGCTATAGCCAGATCTACTCAGCTGCACCTGAGGAATGTGGTTAACTTCTGGAAGAGCAGGGGAGCAGTGTTCTGCAGCCTTTTCAGGAGGCTGAGGCAGGTGTTGCCAGCAGCCAGTCTGCTATGGAGGCTTGCTGAATGGCGGAAGAAATGTTTTTGCAGTCATCCCAAAAACTTTAGAGGGGCAAAGCTCTGAAAGAGAGGAGCTATCCATCTGTACACAGAACCAGGGCTGCCCCATCCCAGGTACAGAATCTGTCACTTTCTCTTGAACTTTTTATGGCTGGTGATTCCCCATCTCTCATTTGTTGAGGTCTCTCTGCAGGACCTCCCTGCCCTTGAGGGAGTTGACAGCTCATTCTAATTTAGTGTTTTTGGCAAACTTAGTATCCCTTCCAGCCCTTTGTCCAGGTCATTAATGAAGATGTTGAAGGGCACAGGGCTGAGGATGGAGCCCTGTGGAACMCCACYAGTGACAGGTCACCAGTCTGATGYCACCCTATTGACTCTAATTTTGTCACCCACCCCTTTGCACCTGACATAAGCAGGTTGTTCACGCAGTGTGTAACATAATTATGCAGATGTAGGATGAACATTTTGTTCAGAAAGAAGTTGTGACAGCAGCAAAAACTTGGCTGMWKTCCCAAAAGATTACACCTACTKGCCTTTTTCAACCAGCTAGGTGRGTTACCTTGTCATCAAAGGAARTCAGGTTTGCTAAGCAGGACTTTACCCTCATGAAGCTGTGCTGGCTGTGACCAAGGACTGTGTTGTCTTTCAGGTGTTTTTCAATACCTGCCAGAATAATCTCCACAGCTTTACCAGGCACTGRAGTGAGACTGACAGASCTGTAGTTCCCAGAGTCCTCCTTGCCCTTTTTGAAAAKCAGGACAAYGTTCACCATYTTTCAGTCAGCTCCAAATTCCCAAGAGTGCTTAAAAATCATTGGGAGAGGCTTTGCAATTACATATGCCATGCTTTGAGGATTATCAGATGAATCCCATTAAGCTCCATAGATTTATAGGGATCCAGCTGGAGCAGTAGATCCACACAATTTCAGGGTTGTCTGGGATGAGTMATTTCCCCCAGCTCTGAGACYCCCATTAGTYCATCACTGGTGCTGAAGACAGAGGTAAAGAATKTATTAAACACCTCTGCCTTGTCCATGTCCCTGTTTGTGAGGTGACCATCGTCATCCTGGAATAGGCTGATGCTGTTTTTACTCTGCCTATTGCCATTAATATATTTWGAAAATAATTTTARAKATTGTTTCCCACATTTCTGGCWGCTTCCACTCCAGYTGAGCTTTGGCCATACAGATTTTYCCCCTACAGTGGYAACCAGCATCTCTGTATTCCTCCTGTGTCACCCTGGGCATCCACTGTTAGCTGGGTTATGTGGGAGCACTGCTCAGCATTTGTTTAGGAAACTGAGAGAGAATGTATGTGAATATCTGACTATGTTAACTCAAGGCAACCAAMAGTAGTAAACAGTAAATATAACAGAAGAATTGTTTGTCTGGGTAGCTGTTCAGGACTGCTGCAAGCACTTCAGGAGAAAAAAAAATCTTGCCACTTAATTTTACTTATTGATTTCTGACCTTTTCCAAGAGTGTTTTGCTCTTTTTGGCCTACCAAGTTTGCATTACAGGGTTGGAAGAAGGAAGCAGTCACTGACTTTTTGACAGGGACTTAGAACTTTGACTGTTGGTGCTTGAGCAAGAGTCCCCACGTGAACAGGTGACTTGCACTATCAGCCATGCGAGCGATAGAAGCTACAGTCAGATGTGCAGCTCTTAAAATCTCTCACAGGTATGTACATTGCACCTATTAGTGTAAATGTACACACTGATCAGTCTCCTAGAAGGGGCTATTCTTGCAGCCACAACTGTGTATTACTTCCCCTAAAAACAGTGTTTTTCCAAGACTCATTGCTTAAAATTAGCAACTGTAGGTATTTGGGTAACTTTCTCTAAAGTGGATGCTGATTAATTTCCTCTTCCTTGCCCTGATCTGATCAGATTCTCCTAAATAAATTGTATCAGGACAGTTTTATAGCAGCTGTAAAGTTTTTGTATCATCACTGAGCCTTGGGATGTCTTCTGGTTTAAACAACCACCCATTTTGGTCAGTTACATTTTTCTAGAATGAGAACAGCCTTGTTTTGTCTCCTGTGTCTTTCTGGCCTTTCAGTGTGTTGCATTTATTTTAAGACCTCTTTTCAGTAATTTGTAAATGCACTTTTTTTTCCTTTGTACAATTTAAGAATTATGGTACTTTCTTATTGTAAGGGGGTCGAATTAATCAGGATCTAGAATGTCTGTGAACTACTGAAGGACTGCACAATRAGTTCAGTTCTGAAAGATCCCTAAGGAGATAAATTTTGATTACAGATGCCCAGAATATCAACAGAGAAGCAAAGACAATACTGATGGAAATACTTGCACCTTACCGATGGGGAAAAAACTCTTTCATTCAAAACCTGGATCTTCTGTACATTGTACAGTCGAGGTACACAGTCAGAATTAAACTTACTCARTTCTGTGCAAGGGGCAGCATTCATCTTTGAGGATCTCATGCCATCCCTCTGCTTATACAGAAAACCACAAGGAKAAATGAATGCTGCTCTTTTAGCAGCAAAAGTCAGATGAGTAGCCAGAAATTGAATCTGCGCTGGATGAGATGAAGGAAATGACACTGGAATGAACAGAGAAGGCTTTTCTGCACCTTTTATAAATCTGCKTATGCTGCAGCAGGAAACACTGCTGGGATGAGAATGATTTTTATCTACATCCAGAAGCATTGGAAGGAATATAATTGTAACCACAACATTTGGCCCCGTTTCTTCTTTGACGTTGATCACAGCTTGACTCCAGCTCCGAGGACTGAGTGAATACCTTCACAAGGAGCTGGCAGTCAACGTTGTGTGTGCTTATCCTCATGGCAATGCCAGGCAAATCTCTGCTATTGAGTGGTGCCTCTACAGCTCTTCATCAAATGTACAAACAGCATCAGACTTGCCTGTTTCTTGCTTCCCAAATAGCTCTATCTCACCAAGCTTCTCCTACAGGTGCCACTGGATGCTAATGTATGGATTAGCTCTGACATATAGTGTGTCACAGGGTGTTAGGTTTGGGTTATTCCTTCCCTGCTCTTTTGCATCAAATGTTTTTTCCTTCTTTGTTTTGTAGAAACGGGTGGGATTAATTGCAACCACTTTGGGCCAGGAAAAAGATTAAATGTCCCCTAAGGACAAACAACAAAAAACAGCCCTAATTAATGTCCTGGATTGTGCACCTATCCTCATTGTGACTGAAACCCTGTAAACAATGTTACAGACGTACTTCAGATTAAGCTCGTGCATTCAGGAAGGAAATTTGCTTGTACTTCTCATTAAAATCAGACTCTTTTTCATTCTTGTTGGGACTCCTAAGATTGCTGAGTTCCTCTGTSTCCCGGGAGAGCTTTGCAAAGGATGCATGCTGCTGTTTGTAGCCAACTCTGCAAGCTGAAGTTAAGATACATTGCACAAACTAAGCAAACACCCTATTTCTGAAATACCCCTTGGACTGAACACGCCCAAATTAACTGTTGTGGTTCAAC